CCCTCCCCCCCATATAATTCTTCAGTACTTGAGTGTTCGACCATGTTAGTAAGTTGTTGATAACCTAGTTTGTAACCTCTTATAAGTGCCCTAAGTCGCGTTAACCTTGTTTTAGGGGTTGCAAAGCCCGAAATGGCTACCAGCCACTTCCTAACTTGGCGAATCGAAGATCCAAGTGCTTGGTGCCCAGGAATGGGTCAGATCATCTCGGAGGGTGTCAGCTTGTTGGTGCTCAACCTGTCGTTGAAGGCCCACACCTGGCGGAACAGCGTCAGGCAGCTGCTCGAGCGCCTCGCAAAAAGCGGAGCCTGTCTCCAGAGTTTGGTGGAGTCCGGAAATCGGTGGACACGTCCTGGAATGTCCAGGTTATTTCAAGCAAAGTCTTGCATCGGAGCAAAGCTGCACGGAAACTCGCTTTTCCTGGACCCAACTTTGGCTCTCCCCCATATTTCCCCAAGCCCGGCCAAAAAACATCACTGCTCATTGCAGGTGTTTTCTCCACTTGGGACCTCTGGGATCGGGTCACCGAAATGGAAATGCAGCTGGAGCTGAGAGCTGAGGAACCTACGGCCCCACCTCCCGTCTCTGCAAGGCGAGCTGGTGCTTGCCGTGGACAAGACCTCACCTTGGACCTCCGCCTGGGGATGCGCCATGAAGGAGACTTTGGCGTGAGTCGACCTTGGATCTAGGCTGGGGGCCCGAAAGAAAAGGAGAAAAAAAGAGGAACACAAGAAGAAGCGGTGGCACAAAGTGAGTCGACTGGATCTTTATTGTGGGTCCCCGAAGTAAATTTTGCAAGTAAACCAACCATCATGTCAATTGGCCTTGTTTTCCCTTGTAAACAAAGTAATAATCTCTTCCCCCTATTAATAAATACGGCCCCCCCCTATTATAAATAAATCCCCACAAAAATATTTTTTTTTTTTTTTTTTTTTTTTATTGGGGTTTTTGGGTTTTTTTTTTTTTTGCTTTTCCAACAATGTGAGGGTTCACGTAGGATTTGGATGAAATGGATTGAATTGTAAGGTCCGCGAGTAAGCGGTTCAATAAGGAAATTTGATGTATCATTCTAGAGAAGCCAGCTTTTGGGAAAGCAACCTTTTGGGGAATTGAGGAACCCACCTGTTGAAAAGTGAGGCTGGAAGCTTGCCAAAAGTGCCCCCTAATAAGGATTCCAAGACGTTAGTATTGGTTTAGTATTGGCGCAATGGAAAATCAATTGTGTGGAGTGGAAATCTGGTCCCGGGCCCCGGATTTGCATTTATTATTAATTGGGGTCATTCATTAATTGGGGGAAGAGATTAATAATGGGGCATCCAGCTATCGTCACCTTTTTGGTCCGCTTTTGGTCAAGGTCTATGTCTAGGTCCTGTGGGCAAGTGAGACAAGGGCAGGCGCTGGCTCAGGGCGGTTTTCATAGACTTGGGTCACCTATTGACTTTTCGCATCTTCGTTTTGTCCTGGACGTTTTGGTCTTTTGTCCAGGGGTCCTAAGTTTGGCAAAGTTTTCACTCAGGAAGTATGATAGTAAAGGAAGCAAGCTTGCCACCCCTAAGACACAGAAAGGCTCTTGCCGCCTTTTAATTTTAGCTGGCTTGGCCCAGATTTACTCTCACACCCCTTCTTTCCGCGAGGAAAGCCCGGAAGCGAGCATCTGGAGGCACCTGCGGGCGGTGACCGGGGAGTGGCCCACGCATTTGAGGGCTCTGCTGGAGAGCAAGCTGCTGGTGGTGGATGAAAACCCCCTGGCCCTGCCCATGTCTCGTGGCTCCGGGCCGTGTTTCACGTATTGGATTTGGCGGTTTGGGGGGGGGGGGTGCGACCCCCAGGGCCCCTTTTTGAAACCAGATGGGAAAGGTAGCCCACATCGAAACCACAACAAACCGAGGCACCAGTCAGGGCTAAGGTGAGTGTTGTTTGGTTTTGTGGCTGTTCGGTCGCAGTGACTCACGAAAGTATTCGCCATGCACAGTTCGACAGGTCATTTCAACCCTGGCTCATTGGTCCGCTTTGAGCACAGGGGGATCAGTGATGGATCCCAGGCTCCCATGGATCCTAGGCTCTGATGCTTCCTTAAAGAGAAACCGAGGATGCGAACAGGTTAACCTGACAACGACTTCTCAGTTGTGTGTCGTGCTCAATGGGACAAGTTAGTTGGGGTTTGGAAAGGCGGGCCTCCGGAAAAAGAGGGTTGTTTTCCATGTCTTGTGGGTGGATCCAATTCAGAGCGTTTTCAGAAACCACCAAAAACCTCGAAAAGGCCAGGTATCCCAACGCTCGGTATGTTAGCAAAACTTTAACTTTTGCAGTGTGCCACTCAAATCCCTTGCATGGTCTGCCCATTTTGTTTGGGGGAGGAAAGGCACACACACACACACCAAGCCCGGTTTTTGTCCAGACCTTTGGCATTTCAGGCACATCTCCACTCCACAAGTGGAATTTTGACCCAGGCTAAAAAGCGGTATCCTTTGTCATTCGCCCAGGCCGCTTGCCAACTAGGTCGCAAGCATGAATTCAGCGTTCAGTTTGGAGACCCATACAATCAGCCTTTGAAACTTACTAGCTTGGCGAATCTGACACCCAAGTAGTTTCAGGTGAGCTCGAGCTGCAAGCACCCGGCCCAGAGGCTTTCAATTTCCGAGGTTTTTCCACATGGAGCGCGTGGGCAGCCAGCATTGGCACCGATTCTCAGCTGAGCCGGTTTGGTTTCCACCAACTTGAAGCTACCCAGCGGAAACGGGGTGATTCGTGTCCATGCAGATACCCCATTTTGCCCTTGGAGTAGTGGTTTGGGGGTCCAATCAACCAACCAACATCTTGGCCTGAAGATCGACCTGTACCTCTATTTGGTCTGGCGTCGGGCCTATTTTCAGCTGTATGGCACCACCCACGATTTCCCTGCAAGCAGGCTTCCAAAAGACGGGCCTTTTATTTGGTTCCCTGCAGTCCTTGTTTGGATGGATTCAGACATAGCCCCGCGGAAGCGCCATCTTGGCTTAGGCCCCTTTTTGGGGTTTTGGTGTGGTTTCTGGAAGTGTAAATTTAGGGCTACGTTTATGCTCTGGGTGTGACCCGAGTGGTTCCCAACCATACCGATAGCCAATATTGCAAGTCAGCAGCCATTGAAGACCATCATTGAGGCCCCTTTCCTATACTTGGTTCAACGCCCCTAAACGGGCGTTTGTTACAGCCGGATTAGAAATCCCGAAGTGAGGTAGGGGTGCCGTGGCACAGGAGATCTCATGCCAGTTCCAGTTCCCCTCGCGTTAATTGCCAACTGACTATGGCGTAATGCTCAACCATCTGTTAAAGGGGCCATTTTTTGGTCAAACTGGGCATGAGAAATTCAGGGTTCCGACTGCCCGCGCCAAACGACATGTAGATGCAACCCGTTTGCACCCGTTCAACGGGCCGCACGTTTCACCTTCAACCACCAAAGGGCAGAAGCCTCCTATCCGCTCTGCGCGTTTTGTGGGTCTGCGAGGATACGAGCAGAGTGCCTCGGGCCGCAGCGTGGTGGGTGCCGCGCCTGGGCGCGACGCGTGGGGCGGGCGTGTTGGGCAAGCCGAAGGCTTGGCCATCTGTAAAAAACCTATGGCGATTTTGGGGTGGATGAACATGCATTTGCCACCAATTTTGATGTTCACCTGGCGATTTTGGGGTGGATGAACATGCATTTGCCACCAATTTTGATGTTCACCTGGCGATTTTGGGGTGGATGAACATGCATTTGTTATCTATTTTGATGTTCACCAGGGGTACAGGGGTTTGACCCACAGCCACTTGGCAATGGTAAATTGTCCCCAGTCATGCCTCACAAGTGGGTCACATGTAGAGTGACGACAGGGCGTTAGGGATATTGACAACTTACCAAGTGGGGTGTCATATCCAAGAAGGGACATGAAGGGACATTGGCTTACACAACCAGGCCCCAGTTAACCAGCACAAACATCAAACAAACCAAGCGTACAGCACACACCAACAAACAACAACCGACAAACAGTTGAGCGGTTCTAGTACCTAGTAGAGAAGGGGTTATCAGAACCCTCCTGCAACCTTGCCGTGTTAGAACCAAGCAATTCGAACGCTCGGGTCTCTTTGGATCTTTGGACGTCTGTTGGACCCATAGGTTCAGCTTTTGGACCCATAGGTTCAGCTTTTGGAGATCAACAACAACCAAGTTGGTGGTGAAACGGGGGCTGAGTCGAAGACGTGGGGCCTCTGCCAGGTGCCGAACATGATGGGACGGCTTTATCTTATGGAGCTCCTGCGGACGCTGGGTCTCAACGAGCAGCTCGGAGCATGTTGGATCCCCCAACCCCTGCAGGAAATCCCCCCAACCCCCGGCGAAACAAAAGCACCTTCAACTTTGAGATGGACTTTAGTTTTTCCAGGATTCTGGGGGAGGTGCGTTGGGATCCCGGAATCCCCTCAAAGAGGGTGTGAAGTTCGGCGGATCGTTTGTTTTGCCCGAGGGGACGGGGTTTTCGTCCTGTGGATTTTCCTTTCAAGGGGAAGACTGGCAAAATGGAACGGCCTCCCTGAATGTCTAAATGTGAACTTTGGATTAATGCCAGGACCCTACTAGCCAGAGGGCCGGTTCTCCCGGATGAATTCCAAGGTCAATCGGCCAAGGGAAGGGACGATCACCAACAATGAGTGCGGCTACTCGCTCTTTCGTTCTTTGGTGTCGGGTAGGGTCCCTTGGGACTAGGTCTATTGAGACTAAGTTGGGGTAATGCGAGCTCGCCCAATGGCCCTTTGTTCGGGGATCCTTTGTTATTGCGGCTTTGGGACATGTTTAACATGCAGACGGCCAGGCACCTTGTTGAAGCAAGACACTTGAAGGGGCAGGGCGTATCAGGCAAAGTGTGCCAAGGTGCCAAGTTTTGGGAAGGTCAGTGCACTCTCAACAGTTCGTGACTTTTTTCGGCCGACACCGCCGACAGCTGCTCCTTCAAGTCTCTCAATGGATATGGAACCCTTCGAACATTCAAAGAGAGATTGTTCTCGGATGATCGGAACCAACCCCTAAGAATCCATGTCACACGTGAGGCAAGCTGTTGGCCCACGCAGCGGGGGAAGTGAACCTGGGTTTTGCGGGCATGCGGCATGCCCCTCTCACCTGCGTCGACATCGAGCCGGCGCCACGTGCCAAAAGGGTACCCTTATTCTAACCTCTCTGGGGGACCTAGCCAAGAGTAAGCTGACTTGAAGCACATCAGCCCTTGCAAGAGACCCACGAAGGACACCTACGCTCCCGGCGGCCTTCGGCGAAAAGGTTGGGCAACGTCTCGGGGACGTGCGGATCTGTGCCGAGTGCACGAAGAAGGGCCGCTCGGATCCGATGCCAACCGTTGGACGCCACTGGGTCAACGTTTATTTTGTGGTTGTTGGATCTTTTTCGTTTTTTGGTAGTGTTTTGCTTCTTAATTTATTTGCTTTTTTTAATAGTTTTAATTTTGGAGGGGGGGCTTTCTCTTTGTTCTTTTTTTTTTTTTTGGGGGGGGGGGGGCGTTCTAATTTGTTTGCAAACCCCATACCAAGGGTTGTAAAGGTTTGGGGAGCTTTTGTCGGTTCGCCCAAAGCAAATCAACTTTGTTTTTGGTTTGTTCATGGCTCAAAAAGATATCTCTTTTAAGTCTTGCATCTTCCTGAAAAGATGAACCAAACAAGTATTCCCGTCTCAGGTGTAGGGTTGAAGGTTGGCTAAGACTTGGCAGGTGGTAAACGATTTAATGTCTCCAGTGAAGTCTGCACAAATGAAGTGTAGCTTGGATCTTTGCCAGGCAGCGTGCTTTGGGCTTGAATGCCTCATGATCACTTCTTCAGCTTTAGTGGTAGAACCACTGGGGCGGGTATTGATGGGCTGGTCATCTTAGATTGGCATGAAGGGATTGCCTACCAGGGTTGGGGCCAGATGTTGGACGCAACCGGGCACTAGCTTCCTTGAAAGGGAAGCAAAACGGGGTTCGTAAGCAATAGGTGTTTAAACATGTTGAAAGGCGTCAAAGAACCGGCTTGGTGTTTGCTGGGCTCCCTGTACTTCATCTTGTTGCAAACCACTTTCGGCCGAAACATGACCCCAAAAGTTGCACAGTGTCCGTCTTGGGTTGCGAGAAGAGGGCATCGCCAACAGTGGCTGGCGAGGAGAGCTTGGGCAAAGGATCCATCATGGCTGAGCAAACACATTTGTATTTTTTTCGGGTTGCCCTTTCTCAGATTGCCTGAAAGGGAAGCCGGAAGAATAAACATCACCTTTTGGCCCTTTAGATGAGTTTCCTGTGGGGTGATGTTTGAGGGAGTTGGGAGTTTCGGAAGCCCTGTTGACAGCAGATGGCACAATTCCCCCTGTTGGTTTTGTCATCCTTTGCTTCTACATTCACCCTGGCGCACACACATGTGGCCATGAATTTTAAGGGGGAAACCCTCCAAAGTAGAGGGTGGACAGAAATCCCCACCTGTGGATCATGCCCACCAAAGGGTCCAGGACTCATCAAACTTGTCTTGGATGCTCAGGCTGCTGCCCCTGGACGCCGCCGGATGTGCTCCCGGCCCACAGCCTCTCCAACGTGGGCATGGAGTTTCTGGAGCTGGAGAACTTATCGATCAGCGGCTGCGCCAGCGCGAAGGTACGAACTCAAATCATATGAAATCGCCCCAATGTTTCCCCCCAAACATCGGGGCCGCCTGGGCAAGAATGTTCCCCCAATGCTAAAACACCCCCCAACAAATTACAAGAGTGCCCCCCAAAGCCGAAAGGAGATTCCTCGTACAAATGGTTTCAATGGCAAGAGGTTGACCTCTTGGGGGAGCTGAAATTCCAGGCTGCCGTCGCAAGTATCGCAAGTCACCAGGCAGACTTCTGAAGGGTTTCGGGCTGGTCATCTTCCTGAGCGCAAATCTTGCGAGTTGGGCTGAGCTCCCTTGGATTGGATCATTGTCCTCAAGGGGGCCTTCTGGTGGCTCTATATTAGTCGGTGAGCGGGTAAAGCGCTTTGTCCGCTTGGCCTTGGTTGGCCCCAGTGGGTCTACTTTGACCAAGCCAGTCTGTTTCTTCCATGTAGGGCAAACGCCCTTTGGAGCCGGAGAAGGGCCAAAGGACCTTGGCAGTACTCTCCTAGGCGTGAGTTGAAAAAGGGCCCCTGCGGGGGGACAACCGCATTGTCAGGAAAGGGGGGGAGGGAAAAGGCCCTGAGCTTGGGTTGAAACAGGACCGCCGGGTGTGAGCTTGCAAAAAATAGTCCTAGACGGTTTTTGGTTTGGGGACGGCAAGGGGGGACAACCCGGGTTTTCGACAAAAACCCGGGAGGGGGGGTGGGGAGGGTATCCCTGTAGATTGCACTTTTGACAGCGCTGCATGCCGCCAGTTTAACGAGACGTGTGAGCAGCTGCCGCATGGGTGAATGCTGACAGGAGAGAGTCAGCAAATCCAAGCCCTGTTGAGAGTTTGAATGCATTCCTGGTCACTCCTCCAGGAAGTACTTGACACAATCCTGCTGAAACGCAGGCCCCACAGTGTTTGAGCGCCGTCTGTAGGAATTGAATTTTGGGAACCGACACAAACTGCCGGGGAAGCTGGGTTCAAAATCAAGCGGTAAGCAATCCTTACTCCACTTGATGTGGCGTCCGACTGCGGATTAAGGATCCTCCCGGCCTTGTGAGATTCGACAAAGGGAGCGACTGCAAAGCAAGGTCCCCATGAGGGTTCAGCAGATCAGGGTGAACTTCTCTGCTCAGATGGAATCTTTCGGCCCTCGCTGTGAACAGGCTTCTTGTCAAGCAAAACACCGCATTTGGACAGTCAACTGCAGGCAGATTCCATTGCCAGACCCAGCTTACCGGTTCGTCATTTTGCCGTTCTGATGTTCCTTCGTTTTACCTTTTCAACCAGCAACGCATGAAGAGGTTTTTGAAGCCGGATCAGTCTGGCCAAGTGTTGAATTGAAGCTTCAATTTTGGTTGGAAGCGCTAAGCAGGCAGACAGACAACTGGGTCCCCCAGTGCCCTTTCTCACCCTCTTTTTTGGTTGGGAGATGTTGGGAGGGTTCCCCTACTAAAATAGACTACAGGAAAAAATCGGGTACCAACTTATTCTAACCTCAAATCTGGAGGACCTAGACAAGTACGTGCCTAGACCGATTTCAATGATATGTACCCGGCCGCCTGGTTCCTGAGCGGCGCGTGGCTGCAGAACAAGTGCAGCACCTGCACGTGGGGAGCTTGGGTGGGCCGTGGCTTGAGGTGTTCGCCGGGTTTGCGCGGAGGTGCAGGTTTTAGCCCTGGTACCTACTTTCCTTTTGGCGGACCGTCATCTAAGTGGCTGTTAGTCCCTGTGCTTGCCAACAACCAATGGTGTTCCATGGCTTCAAAGTGGTGCGAACGGATTTGGTCCACCCGCAGTATGAATGAACCAGGGTTCTACTTGGGTGTGGGTCACAAATTGGTACCCAAAATGGGTTGCCCTGGTAACATGGACTAAAACCCACGGTCCCCTGGTGGTTTAGTTTTGACCCATACCCATGTGGCGCAGGTTTCAGCCCTGGTACCTATTTTTGACGCAGTGTTATGTCCCCCTTTTGGTGGACCCTCTTTTGTCGTACCCGAACCACGCAAAATGTCCATGGTTTCCTCTAAGGGCTTTATAACACCTTTAGTGACTTGACCACTCGGTTTCAGACACGGGGCAACTGAGGAAGGGGCTGACACACAAATTGAGCAGCAACCAGTTTGCACATGGACCCAATTGTGGCCGCCGATTTTCTGGAACATCTCATGTGTGCTTAACTGTACCTTTGCCGGGTATGCTTTCCTTCACTGCTGTTGGCACGTTTTGACGTGTCTTCTTGGTTCTCTTCATTCTTTGGTAGCGGGCTGCCCAAAAAAAAGAAGAAAAAACAGTCAGTTCCTTTTGCAAGTGTTTTAAAGTTGAGCTAGCTTTCACGGATTCGAAGGATTGGACTCGTGGCTTCTGGTCCGTTAGCCTCTTGGACTCTGGCACCAAAGCTTCAGCCAACCGCGGACTACCTGGGAACCGTTCCCCCCGCAATTGGCCATAAAACCCCACAGCTTCGGTTTTTGGTTGTATTCTTTTTCTTGTAGGCTGCACAAGAACCGGCTTCTTGCGGGCCCAAGACTTGGAAAGTAACTCACCAGACTCGCCTGGCCCAAGCGCCCCGACTCCGAGACTCGCGGCTCGAGGCTTCCGCAGCTGCGGAGGGAGCGGGGAGGCACCTTCCGCCTCTCCGTGCGCCTGCTGGGCGCGTCCGCGTGCCTGGAGCAGCCAGGCGGATCCGATCTTGGGCCAAAAAAGAGGCTAAATGCCTGGCGCGGGCAAGCTAAGACATGCGGCGGACTGAGGAAAAGCTAGCGCCAAACAAGTGTGAAACAACTAAGGCTAAGTGGGCTCAAAATTCAAGAGTCAGGGTTACGCAGGTGTTTGGTCTTTGTTTCCATTTGCCAAGGCACCATTTTGGGTACCATTTTTAGAGCCACGGCCAAGTGTTGGTGGAGAAACGGCTGAGCTTGGACGATGGTTGAGAAAAAAGACATCAACCCCAGAGCGATTGTCAACCATTTTGTTGGGTCGACATGGCTCGACCTTCCGACTTTGTAGTTTTCCCGTTTCTTGTTGCAAATTTTTCTCACCGGTTCGGTCAACTTGTCTATGGTCCATTTGGGAGGGGCATGCGGGACTGAATCAATTTCTCCCACAACGATGGGACGTGATGGGACTCAACAATTATCCCATGTCCTCTTCGAAACAGCCAGTGGGTTTTACCGTGGCTCACATGTCGTCTTGGTTTCTAAGAGTGACGAGCAAACGCCATCGCGCCCTTTCACTTCGACGAACTCTTGTTGGAAGAACGCGTGCGCGCAATCGGACAGTCACATCTTGTGCCCATGCACATCTCCACAAGAACACTTGAGGATTTGAGCCATGAGGATTCCTTTAGGGGGTCTGTATGCTCAAGAATTCAATGCTGGAAAATTCGTGGAACCACCGGCAGAGTCTGATTTCCGGTCACTGGATGGCTCAAGTGAGTAATCAACACCTGGGTGAGTGAGGTTCGTAAGGGACAAGCCCAGCCACAAAAATGGGTCCAGACCTCCGTCTTTTTCACACTTCTTACAAGGTTTGGGGTACATTTTCACAGCGATCGGTTTTGATGCTGACTCAAGTGATGCGGACACTCGACGGGCGAGGCCTGCTGTTGCGACAGCAGCCCTGCGTGGAAGTAAACCTTGGGGAGGTGACCAAGGAGGGGCGCTTCGGTTTTGGGTGGGTGGGTGGGGGGGGGGGGCGTGGGGTTGGCGGCTTTGAGGGGTTCCAATGAAGGAGAGAAGCAAGGCCCGAGACGATGTGATCGATGACTCCTGGTTTCAAGTGGAGATAGGGATGTTTCTTCTTTTGAGGGCACCCTTTGTGGGCTTCCGAACACGGGGAACCAAGGGCAGAACACAATCGGCCGACAAGCCCAGCAAAAAACGCGGCCTCCCGAATGGGGGCAGACCCCAACAAAGTCGAAGCTGATCACTTTCAGGGTTGTGGCGGCCAGGGAACGCTTTGTTTAGCTGACTGTGGGGCAATGAGCTTCAAACACATAGCCTCCCACCAATTCACATGGAACCTAATTTTCGGGACCCGGTCCCGTCAAAAGGAACATGGGCGTCAGGCTCCATGTCAATTGGTGGGAGGGTAGCACAGAGACAGGGAGCAAGCGAGTTCAGAAGTTAGTGCCACAAGCTTCACAGAAAATAACTGGGTCATCGAGGATGCAGAGGAGAAGAGAACGTGAAACGATGCACAACTTGAGAACAGCAACATCACGGTTGGCGGGATGCCCAACAAAATCAGATGCCCGCTTGTTGGATGAGGTTGATGAGAAGACAGGGCTCAAGTTCCTTCAAGGGTTCCTTCTAGGCTCAATATGTGTTAGAAACCCTTACAACCCACTCAAGAGCCTTATTGGGGGGCGCTTGAGTTCAAGCTGCCTTTTGAAGGGAACAAGCTGCCTTCAACAACTCTGGCCCGCAGCTTGTCCGTTCAACCTAATTACTATGCTATATAGGCTTTGTCTAAGTGTCATCTTCTTGTTTGAGGGGCTACGATGTTACCAGGCGTTGGCCAAGAAAAGGCCTTCCTTCCCTGGAACGCCAGCATGGACCCATGTTGGCAAGGTGTGTTTCTTCAAGTCTTCTGCTCAGGGATGTAACCTAGGTCCCCCAGCAGTGCCCTTTCTCACCCCTTTTTGTGGTTGGGAGGGTTCCCCTACTAAAATAGACTACAGAAAAGAGTTGGTGCCCTTATTCTAACCCCTCTACTGGAGGACCAAGTAACCTTCGCTGGATTTTTCAATCGGAAAGGAGTCGGAGCCAGCGGAATACCGAGCGCTGCCCAGCTTCGGCCATGAGGCGCGTGGTGGCCTCGTTCCATGTTTGGCCTAGTCCCTTACTGCTATTGGGTTGGATCTTTAGACTTTAACTTTTTGGATTCCCTTCATGTGTCCTTGTAACCAGCAAAAAGCTTCGAAGCGAAGCTTTTTGCTGGCGGATCTAGAGCACCCAAGTAGTGGGAACCGCGGATCTAAGTAGAATCCTGGTTGATTCATACTGCGGGTGGACAAAATCCTGCACCAGATTGAAACCATGGAAAACCATTGGTGTTGCTAGTTATAAGGAATCATCATTCCCGGGTTGCAAAGGTGGTGCAGGATTTCGTCCACCCACAGTAGAGGTGTCCCTTGTTTTGCAGGGATTCAGACACGCCCAATTATAGATATCCAGCCGCGAAACCACAAGAATCCCTCGGAGCAAATGTCAAGGGGTCGCGGAGCTGGCTGCAGGTAGGGGCGAGCCAACACAGACAGCACTTGCTGTTTTCCACTTGCACTCCTGCGGATTCGGCTTCCCATAAAATTCATTCAAGGACATGATCTTGGAAGGGTCGCTGCAATCATGTCGACCCTTGATTAATAAACTTGTGCTGTTTTGGAGTCCCTTTAAACACCTCAAGAGTAAGGTGCGCTCAAAGAATACACATCCAATTTGGCATGAAGGGGCTCGTTGCCCTTCAGACCTTTTTTGCTCAGTCGCAGGTTTTCGGAACCTTGGCTTGAAGAACTAAGGCCTGAACTAGTGTGCCTCCATCAGGATGCGGACTCCAGTGCAGGTTGGCATATGGCAGTATTCCCTGTCCAAAGCGATCCTCCGAGTCGTGTCGACTTTTTGCTGTGTGGATTGACAGGCTGGATGTGTTCATTGGCCATTTTTGCTTGCTTGGTGTTCAAATGGGGCGTAGGGAACCGGGCGTTTCCCCGTGTTGTTTTTTAAGAAAAACACATAAAAACAAAATACAATATATTTAGTTTTTAGTCATTCATTTATATTATATATATACTTATTTATTTATTTATTTATTTATTTATTTATTTATTTATTTATTATTGTCCCGCTTGATTTCGTTTGTTTTTTTGGAGGCCACTCCACCTGCCAGCGCGCAGGAGGGGGATCGATGGCTCGCTGCGACCGGTGACAAATGTGCATGGCACCCCATGTCCACAAGCCCCTGCATTGGGTACGTATAGAAGAAATTTCAGTGGACCCATGATTTGTGTTGGAGAAAGCAAAGCCGGTTCCGCGCCAATTGGATCCGGTCAGGACTGTCAGTGGCACTTTGGGGACACCATGGTCTTCACAGCGGCTTTGGCCAAACATGGGCGAGGTTCGGACTTGATTTCGGCCAATTCGCTACTCGGAGCACGGATGAGGTAGCCTGATGGGTGGTTTGGGCTGGTGGTTTGGGGGGGTTGAAGCCCTGGAGCCCTCGAAGCTCCAAACCAACCCAAACCACCAACTCGAGGCAAGCTGCCCCGAGCATGTTATAGGGGGCTTGTCAAACATTACCCTTCTTCGGCCATGGTTTATGTGGGGCCCGCCTTTAAACGAGATCCAAACAGAGGTCCATATTGTCAACCCACCATAGGTGACCACCAGGTGGCCTGCCCCTCGTAAATCATCCAGTTCAGAGGTTCTGAAATTGGAAGGGCCCTTGGGTGCTGGTGCCAAAGTGTTCTTCGGGGTTTCTACGACTCTTCAGCGTCGCGGGGGGAGGAGGGGGGGGGGGGCGGGCCTGGGGCGACCTGGCTCGCCGTGCTAAAATGGGGAGTGGCACTTACGCGGCAAGCCATGGCTACCGCCCCCTACCACTGTTGTTGCCAAGTGGGTTACAACCATGGTTACCAATGCCGCTTGCCTGACGTGGCGCGGAATCCTACAATGACAGGAATCCGCCCTCTGATCGCCCACAACCACCCCACTCAGGAAGTGATTCATACCCTCAGCCAAAGGGCAGATTCTTCCCTAATTACACGTTTTCCTTATCAGAAAGGGCGCAGAAAGAACTGGTTAAATTTTGAGGTGTAGGGACTCCCTACTCAAGAAAACATAATTGTTTCCTCTTGACCCAAGCTGAACAGAGTGCGTGCCCATCTTCCTGATGTGGCACCCGCGGTCCGTGAACGTCAGGGGCCCCAAAACACAGCTAATCGGGCCCAGGCTTGCACCAGAGGCAAATCATGTGCATAGCATCGTAGAGCCTATTGATAGAACAAAATTTAACGGGTGAACCAAGATAAGGCTCTCGCCTCTCGCCTGCATGCAAGCCTCGGAAATGGGACTTAACTTAAGGATATTAGCCACTTGGGTGGCCTTTGGTTACGTCTTTAGGCTTTCACTCTTTAGGACTTGATGGGTTGCCTCCTGAACGGCAGCAAACAGCCTTTCGCTTTTCCTCCTCTTCTTTGGTTAGATGCTCGTCTTAGACTGTACCTCTACCCGCCATAGCGATGCGGGAGCAACAAGTTTTCAACTTGTTGCCCCGAAATTGTGGTGATTCTTGCGAAGCAAATCTAGGAAGCCCTTCTGCAGGAACAAAAGCATTATTTTCCTCGTAGCTTCTGGCCATCGGGTCCAGTCAATTCTTTTCCTTCATAACTTCTGGCCATCGGGCCACACTCCCTCAGACGAACATGGAAGCTCCCAGGATTTCTTGGGAAGACTTGGGAGCTTCCATGTTAGTCTGAGGGAGTGGATGCAGTTCCCTGATGTCTTGTGCCATTCCTTGAGGTGCCCGCGGCCGAGCTGCCGCAGGCGCGGCTCCGCTTCTGGCTGCGGGCCCGCCAGGAGAAGTCGGAGAGAGGATTGATCGGAGCACCGGATTGCTACTGTGGATGGACAAATCCGGTCGCATCACTTTGAATCCATGGGAAACCATTGTTTGTTGGAATTTACAGGGGAATCATCTTTTTAGGGTTTCTTAGGTGGTGCAGGATGTCGTCCACCCACACCCCTTTTTTTGGTTGGGAGGGTTCCCCTACTAAAATAGGCTACATAAAAAAGTTGGTACCAACTTTATTCTAATTCTCCACTGGAGGACCTAGGTTTTCCACTACACCCACAAGTTAAAAGGCCGGAAAAAGAGGCCTTAAGCTTGATTTGTCTTTAAACTTTAGAGCTTGGTTGACATCCATTGGGTTCTCCGAATTGAACCCACAAGCACTAGCGGGGGGGGGGGGGGTTGGGCGGGCGGCTATTTTTAGTTGGTGGTTTGGATTGGCGGTTTGGGATTTGAACCCCTGATTCTTGCGGGTAAATGGGGAAACCACCCAACCTCCACCAATCCAAGCCACCTAGAGGGAAGCTGAGCCATGGTTAACTCAGTTGAAAGCGAATCGACAGTTTGACATCTTTGGACCTTTCCCTGATGTTGGCAACCATTTTTGGCCAGAGAAGGTACCCTCCCACCAGCTAACATGGAAGTGCCTTCGGACCCCTGTAGAAAGACTACCTTCCTCTGGGAAAGGGCCTTTTTGCACTTCCATGTTAGTTGGTGGGAGGGGTAAAGCCTTTTGATTCATACAAACAGGGGATTTCCTTGTATCCCTTGCATCACAGAAATGGTTGGATAAACCCCGAGTGATCCCACAACCATTTTTGTCCGGAAAAGGTAAAGCGTTTGGCTCTGGGAAACATATTTTGGTAGAGATGTCTGTAGGAAGACTACCTTCCATTTGGAAAGGGCCTTTTTGCACTAACCCATGTTAGTGAGAGCGCTCCCTCAGACCAACATGGAAGCTCCCAGAAGGGCTCTCTAAATGGAGGCAAGTCTTTCAAAGGGGTCCGGGGAGCTTTCATGCGGGGAAAAGGTAGCCTCCACGTGCACAGGCTACCTTCCCTTTTGGTTCCGGGTTTTGTTGGGGCGATGAGCTGGGCTGAGCTGGGTGCTGGGGAGGACCTGCAGCTGGGCTTTCTGCAGCTGGACCTGGCGCGCTCCGCGGCCATCGGCTGCTGCGCCCTGGAAGTGAGGCCCGGGGATCGATCGGCGCGGGGGGAGGGCATCCGGCGGGTCTCAGTTTTTGGCGGGGGTCGACAAAAAACCGACCCCTTTATGCGCCGCAGGGTTCTTGGGTCCTTTCCATTTACCAGGGCAACCCAGTTTTTGGAGTTACATATATATATATATATATATATATTTTTAGGGGTGAAAGGGAGATCTCCGGTGCCCGGAATCTAGACCTGCGACCATGGGCTCCTCTTTTCGCACAGAAAGGACCCTCTGGAACTTCCCAGAATGGTGCCTGGGCTTTCCCTTCAACCAAAAGCAACAAACAATTTGCCTAGCTTTCCCATAGCTGGCCTTCTCAGACTGAATGGCCTAGGCGCCGAATCCTTTCCGCCTGCACCACGAAGGCGCGGCGAGAGAACTGTCGGTGGCATGGCTGGGTTTGAGCGAGTCGCCTTTCGTGCGGGACTTGGCCAGATGGTTTTCGCATGTGGCTGTGGGTCAAAACCAATGGTGCCATTTTGGGGTAGGTGCACCAACCAATTTTAGAGCTTATTTAGTGGGGATTGGGATGTTCACTGGGGGTACGGGATTTTGACCCATGGCAATCGTGCGAGTCGTGGAGATGTCCTCTTGATTGACTGGCTTCTGAATGAGTCCGAGAAGCCGCAGAGATACACTAAGAACCCGGGGATGTGGCCAACTTTCTGGTCGAAATTCCTGCTAATTTGGGTGCCGAGCATCTTCTTTGTTACTGGGCTTGGCTGATGGTGCCAAACTCCCCCCCGTTAGGGGCACCTCCCCCTCCCTCCACAGGCTCGCAGGCTATAGCGGCTATAGGAAGTGCAGCCACGTTTCCCAGCGGTTGATTTCCGCTTTTTTTTTTTGGGGGGGGGACCCTAAGAATTGCAGTTTGCCTTTTGGGCGCCCTCAAAAGGAAAACGCACACAAACAAACATTCTGGTTTCCAGTGGTCCATGTTTTGCCAGGTTTCAAAAGGTTGACTTTTCCTTTCCGCGTCCTTTGGTTGCAAGTGACCGCGAGCTTGCGGCATTCTTGTGTGTGTATAGTCCAGATCCCATTTCCGATAGCTTGCAAACCTCGTTCATGGCTGCTTTTTCGCAGCGGAAGCCAGAAGGGGATCTATATTTTTCCAAAATTTCCGCAAAACCCTACACAGAGGATGCCAGTTGCCAGTATAGCAGGTAGCCAGCAATTGTCCTCTTAGTTAAACTTTACATAGTTGTTCAACGCGTGAATGCGCTGAAAGTCAGACGCAAGCGGGCCTGACTCGGGTTGAATTTCTTTTCCACCGGGCAACGTGCTGCGCTTCTGCGGACAAGGCTTTCGACGGCACGGGAGTGCAGAGAGAGAGAGAGAGAAAAAGACAGACAGACAGACAGACAGACAGACAGGCAGACAGACAGACAGACAGACAGACAGACAGACAGGCAGAGACAGACAGACAGACAGACAGACAGACAGACAGACAGACAGACAGACAGACAGACAGACAGACAGACAGACAGACAGACAGAAAGAAAGAAAGAAAGAAAGAAAGAAAGAAAGACAGAGAGACAGACAGACAGACAGACAGACAGACAGACAGACAGACAGAAAGAAAGAAAGAAAGAAAGACAGAGACAGACAGACAGACAGACAGACAGACAGACAGACAGACAGACAGACAGAAAGAAAGAAAGAAAGAAAGAAAGAAAGAAAGAAAGAAAGAAAGAAAGAAAGAAAGAAAGAAAGAAAGAAAGAAAGAGAGACAGACAGACAGACAGACAGACAGACAGACAGACAGACAGAAAGAAAGAAAGAAAGAAAGAAAGAAAGAAAGAAAGAAAGAAAGAAAGAAAGAAAGAAAGAAAGATAGAAAGAAAAAGAGAGAGAGAGAGAGAGAGAGCGGGAGCGAGGGGCTTCCCGCGTGCAGGCGGCGCACGAGGGCGCTTCCGCAACTTGACACGGTTGAGAATAGTTGGGGACGGTTCAGCCACGAGACGCTTTGGAAACAAACTTACTTAGACAGAAGACGAGCAAGCCCAGCGCTTTACCTACTACCAGTTTAGGTAACCAGGGCGAAGCCATCATGCGAAACCAGGAGGCAAATAGTTCCATTGCCGGGTTTTTAAACCCGGGTTTTTTCGGCGCAGCTTGCCGCGCGCTGAGGGCTCGCTGTGGGAGTCCCAGGAGATGGTGCTGCCGCTGGTGACCCCTGAGGGTGCCGAAGCGGAGGAAGGGAGGGGGGGGGGCAGTGGGCCGGGGAGAGGACTTCGGGTAAATCGTAAGGTTGGTTTGGAACCCGGTGATTTGGATCTGGATTTGAACTCTGCAAAGGGTATTACATGGGAATCCCCTCCTGAACCACCAAACCAATCCTCAACCCAGGATTGATCCCTGTGAGGAGCTTGTGTGAACAGTGGTTTGAGCATGTTTCTTGTTGGGGGTTGGCTTTGGCTTCGACCTTGGGGTAGGGGGCACTTGAATGGTTCAATAAGTTCCGGATGGTCTTGCGAAAAGATCACAGTCAAGCTGGCAAGTTGTTTGTTTCCGGGCTCCTCTAAATCAATGTCTTTGGATTGCGTCGGACCCGACTTGTTGGAGGGCCCCTATAGATCATTTCCTTACTAAAAGGAAGCCACCCCTGATTAGTATGGCCCTCCGAATTCATCAGAGCGAACATTATGAGCTCCCCACTCCGTTTGGTTTCTCACTAAGGTAATGTATGGCGTGGACGGGTGCTCCCCAGTGAGGGCCCCCAAATCCATAAGGGCCCTTCCACATCCGTATGGTCAAGGGCATGTCCAGGTATTGGTTTGGAGGTCTAGGTCTGTGTAATGTTGACCCCATATAAAATAAACCCCTGTATATTGATATGGGGGTGTCCCTGGGTTTAGTGGGATATCAGACCACTGTTGGAGGGGAACACCCCCCATGTAAATACCACGGAAACGAACCGGCCAAATGGCAGAGCCGGATGGAAACAGCACCTTAATTTGAACCTCCCAGCTCCTGGAAGTGCGTTTTTTTCCCCGGAGGTTTGACTACACACCCAAGTGTCGGGCTTTGGGCGAATGTCCTGAACACTTTCCAGCCTCTTTAGACTCTATGGGTGGCCAGGGTAATCCATTTGTTGGAGGCCTGGCTCCTCGTGAGCTTCGCGGTGTCTGTGGACCCTGCGCGGCTGCTTGCTGCGGCCCAAACGGACCGCTCCTTGCTGGACCGGGCCGCCTGGCGGTCATAGCTCCGGTCCTTGATATCGGTCTTTTTAGTTTGCCAAAGCATCATTGGACCCTCCATAGGGGTCTGGATCTCCAGAAGAGCTTGGACCTGAACATGGCCTGGTTTGAGAGCCCAAGATTCTTGGCTGTCTTGGATTGTTCTGTTCATCTTGAGTGACCGGCAAGGAGCAAAGTGTGTTGCCGACATTCGAAGGCTTGGGAATTAGGAGGCCGTTTCCCTGCAGCATCTCGGAAATGGGGGCGCCTGTTTGCAACGGGCTACTGGAGGTTTGGGACCACCCCATGGTAAATTGACCTCCAAAGAAAGGGCCCCCCAGAAGGCAACATATGCTATTGGTTTTTTAGCCTACGGCCGAAATTGAATGTAATGCGTTTTTTATTTTTTTGTTCTCTTTTTTTTTTTTTTTCGAGGGTATCCGTTGTGTGGGTCTTTTTTGGTGTCTCGTTTTAGGAAAAGAACCCCGTGTTCGTCGGTTTCCAGCTTACGCCACAGGACGCTGACGTGGGCTTGTCCAAAAAGTTAATCACATGGCTTTGCCTGGGTTCAGTGGGGATATCAGACCACTGTTGGAGGGCCGGGAACGCCCCATATTAATACACATGGGTTGATGAATAGGGGGTCAACATTACAAATATGTGTATACGAAGCGAACCGGCAAAACATTGCAGACCCAGGTGGAAACAGCACCTCGATTTGAACCAGGTCCTAGAAGGTTGTTTTGCCCCGAAGGTTTGACTACACGCCCAAGTGTCGGGCTTTGGGCAAAAGTCCTGAACACTTTCTTGCCTCCTTAGACTCTATGGGTGGCCAGGGCAATCCCAGTGTTTGGCCAAACCCATGCGAGTCAGTCCTGGAAGTGTGTTTTGTTTCCCAGGTCCCTGCAAAATGCAGACCAGTGATTGGTGGGTAATTGGCCTGTGCTGGGGCCAGCGGATGGTCAGGTCTCGGAGGGCTGCTCCTCGCTGGGCGCCGCGGCGTCTTCCGCGCAGCGGAACTGCTGCGCCCCCGAGCCAGGGACTGGAGTGGGGGGAGGTGGGAGGTGAGGGGGAGGTGAGGTGGGGGGGGAGGTGGGGGGAGGTGGGGGGAGGTGAGGTGGGGGGGGGGAGGTGGTGGTGGAGGTTATTGACTGTTACTGCATATAATTTGTGCCTTCAATAAAGCAATCACCAGTGGCACAGGTTTGCTTTCACAACAAGTGCGGTGTGTGCCTCCAATATGGAGAAACCGCCAACTGTCCAATGTCCCAGCACCCGCTTTGCGGAACAGGGTGTGTGTGCTTGCAAACCTGTGTTTTCCCTTGTGTCGCACGTTGTTGAGCCACCTGCTTTTCACAAGCAAATTTGCAATTTCCCCCGTTTGACAATGGAAGTTAACAAAGGAACTAGGCAATTCACACCCCCCAATTCCACCAGCATTTCCCAAAAAAAGAGTGCTCTCTCACCAACAAGCATGGAAGCGCGCAGGCCTCTTTTCTAGGAAAGTAGGCTTCCAATGTCCTTTGCAGCTTGGTTCACGGGGGACTCAACAGGCGAACCACATTATCTGCTTCCTTTCTTTTTGGCACATTTCAAACAAATCCTCTGTACTTTGGGGTCCCTCAAAGGATACAATGAACAACTACCTGGGCAACATCTTGGCTGCTATCCGGTTGGAGCTTTAACCTCTAACTTTTTGGGACAGCAGGGCAATCGCCAAGTAGAAAACCGTGTGATCCCAGCTAGTTGCCACTGTAGGTACCCAGCCATTTGCCCGGTTTCTCAAGGGTGGTTCACTTCGTTACCTGAAGACATGGCGAGGAATGATCCCCACTACTTCCCTTGCGTTTTGCTTTTCCCTAGGGTGGTACCCTTGGTCACCTGAAGGAAAGGAATCGCCGGGAGAGGCATCCTTCAAGGACCCCTCGCGCCGGACCTCCGTAGGACGCCCAAGCCCGAGCGGATCGTGGTGTCAGTGCCGGTGATGGAGCAAGGCCGGCCCCTTTTTTTTTTCCCGGGGGCTGGGGTAGTTTCCCTTCTAGCTTTATGGCTGTCAACGGAGCTTGGACGTTAACTAGTGGAATTGATGGATTTGCCGAGTTGGACCCACCAAAGGTGAGAACAACTTGCCGAGGGGTCAACGGCAACCAAGTTGTTTGCCATCTTGTTGGGGAGACTTTTGTTTGGGGTGACGTTTCTGCACAACACTTGGGGAGAACTGCTGCCAAGTCTTTGGAACTCAAGTCAATTTCAAGTGCCCTGGCCCCATCCCATGAGACCCATGGACCCGACATGCGGCCAGGCACTGAGAAGGCCGACTTGGAGGCCGGCGGAGCCCGGTCCGGGCGGGATGGAGAGTGGGCCGTGCGTTTTTGGGCGTTCTTTTCGGGTTTCCGCTTGTTGCTGTGCTGTTGCTTTTGGGGGGTGCCTTTTTTTAAGAAACAAAGCGCCATATTTGTTTCTTCTTTACGCTATAACTAAAAATAAACATTTTTTAGAAACAAATGCAGTGGTGCAATGCTTAGAATTGGGTTTAGGGAGGCTCTCGGGTCTTTGCTCCTTAGGGGATCCTCTCTCAATGACTTGGTGTTGGAAGTTGTTTTTTTGGAATAGATCTGGGCGAACAATACTATTCACACCAAACAAAAAGAACCCTAAGGGAGAGTTTGCTTCCCATCGCCAGTGTGAGCTTGTTTTAAACTAACCAGAGGATAGATTGCTAGCCTTCAGCACTTGAAGGCGTAGGGCTAGCAAGAGGACTTCCCACCATGGTAAGTGGGATGGATGTGCTTTCCAGGCACCCTGCCCCTTTTGGGAAGAATCAACCTGCGCAGGATGGTCACACACAACTTGGAGAATGAACCCATGGATTCCCTGAAAAACACGGGATGGCTCAGTTTGGCGTCATTCTGTTCCAGGGACAACGTGCAAATACAAGCATGGATTTCCAGCCACCCCCACCCCCTTGAGCTCGGAAATGAGCCAAGTTGCGGGGGTGATCCTTCGATCCCTCCCACCAAAGAACTGACAAGCAACGGGATCCTCTCGTGGCGCACCTCGTGGCAATATGCCGCTCCGCTCCCCTCGCGTGTGGACTCCAAGGAAGGCCGTTTTGTAACAACCTTCCCTGGATCTTGTTGCGTTGAGCTCCCGAGACCTCCGGTGGGTGCTTGCGTTTGAAGGAACCCCCCCCCATCCCAACGCATGAACAACACAGGCACCACCGGAAGGTCTGAATCCATCAAGCAATAACGCCTGCTTCTCAGCGTGCCACTGCCTTAAGTTCGAACTTTTTGCAGCGCGAAGCAACTGCCACCCAACAGGGTGTTACTAATTCAGGAACTGTTAAGCCACTTTGTTGGACAACCGTTTGGTTGCTCTTGGACTCTTGAGGGGTATGCGCGGCTTCTCCCAAAAGAAGCCAAAGAACCTGGCGGGGTAAACAAAGAGCAGCCAAGCAACAAACACGCCGGCGAGCTGCAGTTTGGTATGGCTCCTTCACCTTCTCTGTGTGTGTGTGTTTGCCGAGTCCCTGATTTACCCAGGGACCAAACTTTTCCACGCAAAAGGCCAGCGGCAGTCAAACAAAAGCTGACCAACAAAGCTATGATTGGTGGATGCACGGGCTGATCAAAATCACCCTTGTCATCCACACGTCAGTGCATATTGGGCACCATAAGAGTGCAAGGAACTACATAAGCGAAGAGAACCTCAAGTGTAGCAATTCCCGTTTTGGGGCTAGAAACAAACACCCAGGTCCCCCATTGTGACACATGCCCAACGTATCCTTTGAGGATTGTTTTTTGCAGCACACTGGGACGGGAGCGGCAGACGGTGGGTAGAGTATCTACTTCATTTGGGCATCGGTGTCCACAGTTATTAGTCAGGGGGATTTTCCTGAGAAGAGAGGAAGCCGGAAGCCCTACCAAAAGCCGACCATCCCGAATAAGTGCCATTTCTTTTCCAAAAGCACACCCAGGAACATGCCGGTTTGGTGTGGTCACTGCGGATGACCATGGGAAAGCATGTGTGTTGGAATTTACAGGGGAATCAACACTCCAGGGTGTCTTTGGTTCGAAATGGAATTTGTCCACCCGCAGTATTATCAGCTCACATGCTGAGCTACGGCTGATGGACGGCTTCCACTTTCAACCAGTGGATGGTTTGCCCCATTGTTACCCCATCCCAGCTGGTGGTCCATCCATTCGTATCCACCTTTCACAGATGCCTTCGCCCTTGCTGAAAAGGGTGCTGTGCACCACATCTTTTGCTTGAGCAATTCGAGGCATGGGTTTAGGTATGGGGATCAACAACCACTTGCACAAGGGGTACATACTGTCATACAAGCTTACTGTGGCATTTACATGCGCATGCCCCATACCTGAAAGTGCCCTTGGTCTTTGCCGTTTGCTCATTCCCTCGCTTTGTTTGAGGGGGTTTCCCGGTTTCCCTCTAAGGTCAACGAGCTTTGGTTCACGGCGGCTCCCGCTGGCCAGGCAACCTCCCGAAATAGCTCATGCCCCTACCCAAAAGAAATAGTTGCAAGGTAACATCACATGGGGTTCATGCCCGCCAACTATTTTGTTGGTGGTTCCCTACTTGGATTCCATTCACCAAGCAGCCACTCGGGAGTTTTTCACCCCCCAATAAGATGAACCCCACTGAACGGGGGACTTACAAGTGCTTATCACCCCAGTATTCAGATTCATAGCAAGGGAATCCACTCGGATCCCACGAGGCCAGCCCTGCCAGCTCCACCAGCGAAGCTGCCCCCCCCGAGCCGGCGCCGGAGCCTTTGCCCGAGCCGAGGCGGGGTCTGACGTCAGTGTCTGACATCCCCTCGCGAGCCTCGTGGGACCTTTTGCCCCTAGCGATCAGCATCGGCCCAATCGCTGCATTCCCCCGACATGACATGTGGGCTCTTCAGATCCACTGGCCCAAGAGTGACTGGCTGAGACTGAATGAACTCATCCTTCAAGTGCTTCTCCGAAGCCAGGGTCAACCTTTCTGCCCAGGGCAGATGGCCCAAGACCTTCCCATATGGACGAAAACCACGCGATCCGACGGGCCGGGATGAATGATGTTCTCTTTGCGCTTTGGCGCGGGAAAGGCGGGCCTAGAGCAGACACAAAGGTTGCTCTTAGCAAGGCTTTGAACTCCTTTGTTGGTGATGGGATCTGAATGCTTCTGATGGACCAAAGGGCAGCCCTAGATCGTACAGCGAACGCTTCAAGCCCCATCTGGAGAGATGCGGCGGTTCCGTGCATGCTGGGATGTGGCTCGGGTGAATTCCCCTCAGTATGCAAAGGTTTGGCTTGCTCTTTGTTGAGGGCACTCTTTGCTTAGTTGGTAACCGTTTTTTTTGCTTGCGTACTGCTTTGTTTGTGTGTTTGTTTGTTTCTTTCTTTCTTTCTTTCTTTCTTTCTTTCTTCCTTCCTTCCTTCCTTCCTTCCTTCCTTCCTTCCTTCCTTCCGTTCTTCCTTCATTTCTTTGTTTCTTTCTTTCCTTGGTTCAATTGTTTATTTGTTTGTTTGTTTGCTTGCTTGCTTGCTTGCTTGCTTGCTGGTTTGTTTGTTTGTTTGTTTGACTGTTTGTTTGTTGTTGTTTGTGTGTTTCCGTGTTTCTTTTTTTTCTTTCTTTCTCTCGTTTGTTTGTTTGTTTGTTTCTTTGTTTGTGCCTGGTTTATGTCCCTGCTTTGCTTTGCCTCCGTTTTCAAGCCTCCGATCCAGCTCCCACTTGGCCCGCCCCTCTGCCAGGCCGCGTTTATCGCGACCCGCGGCGCCAGGGCCATGGGCCGCATCGCCGGCGCCGCCCGCGTCGCCCGCGTTCGCCGCCCCCTGCCACACGGAGTGGCGGGCAGGCGCGTTCCCGGGGGTCGCTCTAGTTGGTGGCTTGGGAGATGCGGACCAGCCTCAGTCCTTACTCCCGAGTTCCTGGACTTTGAACACTTGTGGGAAAGAACCTTTTAGCGGCAAACAGAAAGTCGGGACTTCTTTTGGGCCAATCCACTCGGGAAGTGGGTTGGGGGGTTGGATTTGTTTGGATTGGATTTGAAGCTCTGGTTCTTGACATGGGAAGCTCGCCCCAGCCCTCCATGCGCGGTGCTCTCTTTTTCAGGTTCTCTTTGGGGCCTAGGGGCCTAGGGGCTTAGGGAAGTGGAGTGGTGGATGTGGTTTGGCAGTCTGTGGCTATAGCGATGCATTTATCAGATGTCAAAATCCAAGTGCTTAGGGCCTAAGTTCTTGGAATGGTTGTGTTATACTTTTGAAAGCAAGCTATGCCATGATCACAACATAATCATGTGTAATTGTTCAGCCCCTGAAATTAGCTGAAGCTTCGTAAAAGCAAATCCAACCAGAAGTAGGTGCAGCCGCCTTTTAGTTTATTTTGGTTTGGGTAGATCGCTTTAATAGCTGGCTTTGATTGCAACTCAGTTTTCCAAAGCGAGTCTAGCGGTTTGGGCTTCCCTATCGAGGATTTTGCGCGAACGACGGCGATGTTTCGGGGCAGGTCCCTGAAGGGCTCGGCAAGTGTTCAGGTTGTTGTTTGTTTTTTGTGGTCCCGATCATTTTTAATAGGGGGCCTGCCAAGAACAGTCACTTTTTTTGCAAGCCCATACCAAGGGTTGTAAAGTTCTTTGGCTAATTTTCGCGGATGCGACCACTGTTTGGCAGCACGTTTCAGTCATGAACCGCACAATTACCTGGGAACCGTGACCCTCTATGTGAAGAATTGGTCGTTGTTGAGGGCGTTGCTCACTGGAAACTGCTTTGGGGCGTGGCGTCTCTGTCGCCACAATGTCTCTGAAACTGACGAACAGCAGCGCAAACTCAGGAGCTACCAAACTGCTGGTGCGGTGAGAAACCCTTTCGCAAGCATCATGACGTAGTAAAACACGCGTGAAATTCACCATTTGTTCAACACCCAGCATGATTCCGAGGAAATGTGTTAGAGTGGCAACGTGCTTTCTTTCCCTGAACTGGTGAAAATTAAAGACCCCGAGCCACGTACAGACCCCCGAGATCTCCATCGATTCGTCAAATTTTTGCAGAAGGCTTCGAAGGCTAGATACATCTAGCCCGGATTTAGCCACCAAGGTCCCCAGTCAATTCCCCATTCCGAAGATTTTGCATATATACCTAGCCCGCTGCAGAGTAACATGCAACACCAATAGCAATCACCTGTTGGACCATGTCAAGTTGCGTGTGGATATTGATTTGGGATACTTACAACTTTCTGTTGGTTTTATGCGAATTTGTAGAGGAAATCTGACTTAGGGGTCCTCACCTCTAGAAACGTTTTGGATGTGAATCTTGTGGATTTCACCTGTTCTTCCCCCTTTTGTGTTTGTTTTTTAGTACTCTTTAGTACAGTATTATTTTAGTATCCTAGAGTTTTGGATCCACAAAAGTTACTTCCAAGCCCTTGTCTCTAGATAACCGGGGATACTGTGTGGATGAACGAACTCCATTCTCTCCACCCAAGAAACCCTGCAACGATTTTCCTCCGCTATGAATGCAACAAACGCTATGGTTTCAACTGTGGTTTCGTTACGTGATGCGAGAAGAGGATTTCGTCCATCTCTATGAATGATATGTTGCAAGTTTGATGATGTTTTCTTGGCATTTTTGGGGGTTCCCCTATGTTGAGACCAACTCCAGTTGAGCGCTGATGCTGCCAGGGCCGGGCCCGCACTTCCAGTCTCACGTGCCAGACTGGCGCTGGCAGCCGCCTGTCAGGTGCACGCATTCGTAAGCGTGCGGAGTATGCATACACGCGGCTATCTTTACATATGTAAAGAATAAATTTGTACACAGAGAAACACACATATATAGATATATATATATATATATGTATATATGCTACCCCCCCCTTGAGATACTCAGGTTTTTGGACAGAACTGAGGTTTTTGGCCGACTGGGGGTAACAAATGCCTTGAGACTCTGAAATGAACTGGACACTCAACTCCATGCAAATTCTAACCAAGCAGAAGTTAAGCTCAACGTTGATTAGGAGTAGCGAGCTGTGTGACCGTCACATTGGCGTGCGCGAAGTGCACTTAAAGTCACATTGGAGTATGCAAAGTGCAATTTGGCAGCTCCAGCTCCAAAAGCACAACTGTTCAGTACAGGAGTAGTGCGCAAAGTAGGTTTTGGCAGCTTCAACGCGCCTGTGGCAGCCCTATTATTTGGTGTTTATTATTTTTCTTTGGCAGCGAAATTCAGCAAAACATCAACTCGGGGAAAAGGAAGTCATTCCTAATTCATGTCCTTGTGCAGTTGCATTTGCATGTTAACTCGAGTGTTGTGCATAATTCCTGACATGCTAGTTCAGCCTAATTGAAAAATATGTTGCAAAGCAACTATCCCACGTGTGTGTGTGTGTTGCTTGTCTAAGTTGGTTCCATCATCGCCACGAACAACTATTGAAATTCAAGTAAGGGAAGAATATTCACTTAAAAATGCCTTCGAGTTCAAACCAAATTCAAGTTTACTCGTTTTCAGTTTCTTGTGCATTATCAACTGGATCAGAAGATAGCTATTGTCGTGGCCAAATGAATTTGGAATCAAACTCAATTTTGAAAGGGTTATTGTCCTTCGACCTCCATGTGGTTTGAACCAAGCAAGAACTGAGCCAAGCCAATGACAGGAACGTGTTTTCAATCATGGATCCTATTCTTTGCATAAATGCTGTAAAACGCAGTGTTTTTCAGCATTTGCTCAGATCGAGTTGCCCTGGATCGAACATCGAATATACAAGATTCCACAAACATATGCTTAGAATGTACTCAATCCTGGTCCCCCAAAAACTTGACAGTTTGTTCTAGACTCGTCAAGGTTTCGCCCCCTGCATTGAAGATTGAAGATCTACCAGATTTTCTATTTGAGAATCTTCCATTCTGGCCAGCCCTCAAGTCCACACAAAGATGTCAAGGTGTCAGCAACATTCTTCCCCCTGGCCAATTGCAGGCAGTGCAAGTGCACATCCACATTTTGATTCTGACAACGTGCACATACGTGCACTCCCGGTCTGCCTTTTGGATTCTTCAAATCCGCACTTAAAGCAATCCAGGATCTGGATGGGAGATTCAAGATTCTCTGACAACTCTTTCTGAAATTCTCCAAATATGTACTTAGAGCAATCCAGGATGTGCTAGCACGTGCTAGCACATCCTGGATTGAAGATTGAAGATTAAAGATTCTCAGACCACTTGTTCTGGAAATCTTCAATCCATCCTGAGGACAAACTGGTATGTGCTAGCACGTGCTAGCACATCCTGGATTGAAGATTGAAGATTGAAGAATCCCAGAGAGAGGATGTGCTAGCACGTGCTAGCACATACCAGTTAGTCCTAAGGACGGATTGAAGATTTCCAGAACAAATGGCCTGAGAATCTTCAATCTTCAATCTTCAATCCAGGACGTGCTAGCACGTGCTAGCACATTCTGGATTGCACTAAGAACCGATGCTAGAATTTAAGTCTAAAAAGGAGTGCATTTTTTAGAGCCTGATTTTAGAAGCTGGAACGTGTGTTTTGCATGCATTTTTCAGCCAAAATGTCAAGTTCAGTCCAAAAACCTGAGTATTCCAGGGGGGGTACCACATATATATATATATATCTACATATATGTATGTTGACATCAATAGATGTGTTTATGAGTGTCTATGATATAATACGTGAAGCTGTATGCATATTTCGAGTTTACCCGGACCCTTTTCAAGGAGGTTGGTTTGGAAATGAGGCAGCCCGGCAACTAATTTGAATGTCCCCATCTCCACGTTGGTGGTTTTTTAAGTGGCAACCCGAAAGGGTTCGCTGCCCGTAGTGTTTGTAGCCACATGTGTCTTGGTCAGAGAGTGTAAGCTTTTTGACCTTTTCGATAAGTTAATTGCATGAATGGATCTCAATGACGGGTGGCCATTGCAACCAACGTGCCAACCTGCAAGTAGTGGTCCCTGGATCACGATGGCAATGCCTTCGCAAACACTCGCATCCACACATGCGGCACATTACATTGTTAAGCTCGTTTGCAGTTTTTGTTGTGGTAAAGAGAGCATCACACCATCCAGCCTGGAGCAAGCAACTCAAAATGTGCGCTCAAATTTATTTGGAACTGACCTTGCAGGAAAAAAACACGTGTTTACCCTTTAGGGCTTGAGCGGGAACCAAGAGGAACCGGGACTCCACAAACTGGTGACAAGGGAAGTGTGTCTCCCTCGCGCCGCGGAGGCCTCTTGGGCCCCATGGGCAACCCATGCGGCCCCTTGGATGGTTGCGACCGTGTCAGTTGGACGGTCGGCAAAAAGTACGAGCTGGTTATAACCTATGTGGCCCCATCCAATGGTCGAAGAAATCTTAGCACCCTCTAGATACGCCTGCGACGTGCACCATATGTGCAATCACTTATGGAAAGCAGCTGTTCAAGAAACAAAAGAGGTCCCATCGGCATCAGGGTGCTGAGTGGCTTTCCCTTCACCTTGAAAACAAGCGGCGGGCACCAAGCCTCAGATGTTCCAAAACATAGCTGGAGAGATTTGAGGTCCGGCCTCTATATATTTGAGACCCCCGGTTCGCGCCTGCGCACGGGTCTGTTCATAGCAGTTTTCAGCAGCGGCCAGGAGTAGGAGAGCAGGGCTCAACCGTCCGTATTGGGAGGGTGGGCTTCATGACCTTTCAACGGGGGCCAAGCAGCTCAGACCTCCTTGCCACTCCAAAACTGCGGGGCTCCGGGCCCCTACTTTCCCTTTGTGTTCTACCGAGCTGGTCTCATTTATTGGATGAACCTCTCACTCCAAAGCCAATCGACCTTTTGACCGTCCCTTGGTCTATGTTGTGTTGCCGAAAGGTTAGCAGAACTTGATGTCCAGGTCCTTGCGCAAGTGTCCCAGTGCATGTTTGGAACAACCCAGGTGATGAACTTCATGTGCGAAGGCGGAATCAGTAAGGCTGAACTTCTTGGGGCGAGATATTTTTACGCGACAGCTTGTTTGCCTGTCCCAACACGCCACAAGGTGCATGAATACTGGTTCCGCCCTCTTGAGTTGCATCTTTCGGTTTCCCATTTCCTTCCTTGTGCTTCCAAGAATCATGGAAGACGTGGGGCTTCCCCAAAGTCTTCCAAAACCCTTCTGTCAGCCAGCTCCTCTGGGGAAAGTGAATCAGTTGCTTCCCCGAGGCCCGTTGTGTGCATACCGCCCTACGCTGGATATGCCGAATTCGCCCAGCACCCAACGCAGAAAAGAAGCACGGGCGCTCGACGGCATGGTGCGTGATGCGGCCGATGTGTCTTTCGCTCAAGTTCTCTCCTTTTTGAAGGGGTACTTATTGGATGGATGTTGAAATTGCAGAATGGTTCGAAGACCAGTTTAAATGCGGTTAGTGTGACTGACCCTGTAACCACAACTTGACGCCCGCTTACTTCTAACGGTTCTTTTTGTGCGAAGATCGGACAACAGCACCTTCTTTGATGACAAATGAATACATTCATTTGCGGAAAGGTGCGTTGATGACCATTGGTCATCGGGCGCAAAAAGGGTTTCCACTGGCTTATGGGGACATGCGGTAAACAACTCAAAAGCTAGGACCCCCGGTATTGCCCTTTTACCCTTTTTGGGGGAGGGTTCCCCTACTAAAATAGACTACAGGAAAGAAAGGGTACCCTTATTCTAAGCTCTCTACTGGAGGATGTAGAAAGCGTCGCAGACTGGCGATGTATTCAAAGAAGTTCTTGGGCTTCTGACCTTGCGCCGCAGGAGAAGTCATACCGTGGATGTACACTCTCCTGCACCACCTTGATAGCATGGTTGAAACCATTGCTTGTTGTTTTTACAGGGAATCACAGGTGTTGCGAAATGGACGTCATCCACCCACGGTAGAATACTACATGAAGGGTAAGGCGTTTTTTGGAAGTGCAGGCGCCCCAGGAATGAGGATTGCGGATTCCAAGTAGCCACGGACGGTTTTTCATGGGTAGAAAGGGGTCAGCGGGGAGCTGGGCGAAACGCCTTTGCCTTTGGTTTGCCAAAGACGTTCAACCTCACTGGTTCTCTTCATTTTCAGTAGTTGCAAAACACGGTCAGGTGTTTTGCAAGCCCAAAAGGGTTGTAAGGAAACGTCGCCGCGTCGCTTTTCGGGTCACCGCTTCGCTTCGTCGCTTTTGCAGGGTCTGACCCGCAGAGTCTGGCGAGCGTCGCGTGGTGGCCTGCCACTCTGGCGCGGGACCCTTGAAGTTCGGAAGGTATCACAGGGTCCGGTCATGGGACGACCATTGGACTTGGCTCCCAGCCATCCGGTTTCTTAGCTTGTTCGCCTGGAAGAGTGTTTGGTGGTTGTTTCCGAGTTTAATCCACTAAAAGTCAAAATTTTAGCGGGGGATCTGAAAACGGGCAGCCCAGTGGAGAAACCACCAAACAAGATAGGTTTCACCGCACAAAGTCGCCTTCATGGTCATTTCGGGGCGGAACGGAAGATTGATCATCCACGATCAACCCCCCCAATTCGCCGAGACCTCCGGGCCCGTGTGGTCCATGGGTCTGTTGGAGGGGCTGCAGTGGGGAAATTAACGGCTACGCAATTTTCTTAAGATCTACCTCCAAGATCTTTCTTGGGATTTTCCAGAAAGATTAAACCAATCCACACATGCTACAAGTCAGCAGGCACAGAAAGCAGCACACGCAGAACTTTGGGGCAAGGAGGAACAACATACAAGAACAACATACATTCACAAAGAAGACACATCTTCCATCGGCTGATG